AAAAAAAATATTCAGAAACAGGAAGACAAGATTGACAACTATAAAAAATATGTGTGTGTATGCTGGACGTGGTGGCGCACGCCTTAAATCCCAGCACTCAGAGGGATTGGAGGCAGAGGTAGGGAGATCTCTGTGAGTTCAAGGCTGGCCTGGTCTACATAGTGAATTCCAGGACAGCTGGGGCTGCAGGGAGACCCTGTCTCAAAAAAGACCAAAAAAAAAAAAAAAATGTGTGTGTGTGTGTGTGTGTGTGTGTGTGTAGAAATTATAGGAAACTTAAGTTTCAAAATTAGGATTTATCATTTGTAAACAGAAATTTAGGAATGATAACATAGTTCTTTTAAAACATCCATTAGGTAAAAAATAAACGTTGCAGAAAAAGATTTTAAAATTAAACTCTATACTTTTCAGTTTCATCTTAAACATCATTTTTTAATCCTCATTAATGTTAATAAAAGTAGCCCACTTAAAAATAAGGTTCATGGCTATATTACATAATTTTACTTGAAACATGCTTTAGAATATTCACTCAGGCAAAAAAAAAAAGAAAAAAAAAGGGGGTGGTTGTGGGTGAGACACTGGGTGCTTTCCTAAAGCTCTGTTGACTGTGGCTCTCTTGGGAGTTACCATCTTACCAACAGGAACAGGCTTTTCAGCCTCTCGTGGGTGCCCTGGCTTTTCTAGGCATCTGCTCTGTTGTGAACATATTAGGCTTTGCCACTTTCCTATGCCATTCTACTGCATTTGCCTCTGAACCCCAGACCTAAGGACTTTGGGTGCTTTATCAGCTACTTTTCTGTTGCTGTGATAAAATACCACAACCAAAAGCAACTTACAGAAGGAAGAGTTAATTGTGACTAATGGTTCCGAAAGGGGAGTCCATAATGGCAAGGAAGACATGGCAGCAGGTGGCTGGAGCAGGAAGCTGGCTGATGACATTTCCTCACACAGGAAGCCAAGAGAATGAACTGGAAGTGGGGTGAGGCTATAACCCTCAAAACCCACCCCCAGTGATATACTTCTTCCTGCAAAGCTGCAGCCCCTAAAGGTTCTATAACCTCCCCAAACAGCACCATCAACAGGGAATCAAGTATTCAAAAGCCTACATGGGACATTTGTTGACTAAACCACCACAGATGCCTTATAAAATTTCCTTTTGTGTTATATATTATTACTTTCTCTTGTACTTAAGAGTCCAAAGCACACATGAACACACATGCACACACACAGACACAGACAGACACAGACACAGACACAGACACACACACAAAGACACACACACATCAAGGGTTAAATGTAGCTCAGTAGTCAAATCCTTGCCTACCATGTGCAAGGGCCTAGGTTTGATTCCCAGTGCTGACAGACACAGACACACACACACACACACACACACACACACACACACACACACACTGGGTATTACAGAGCTTGGTGGGCAGTATTCACTTTTTTATTCACAGGCTTTTCTTTCGAGGATCTGATAAGAGGCCGGGATTCATCATCATATACCAATTGTATCCCTGCTTGTGATGACAATAATAAAAACCTATCTTCCTTTGATAAAATGTTTTATAGGACGGAGTCACTTATCACTCATGGTGTTAAGGCTGAATGCTCATAGTGCAGAGAGGATGACACTCTGTGTTATAATTTGTTAGAAAGGATCTACAGAGCAATAATCCAAGCACATTGGGACCACATCCAATGCTGAAAATCCTCCAGAAGGAATAAGGATTACTCCTTTTATTTACATAACACCGGATTTTCTATGCTTTATTGGATGGCAGGTACTAAAGAGAAAAACAATAGACAGTTATTTTTATACTTCTTTACCTATCAAGACAGAGGACCTTGCCTGCTGTAGAATTCCCCTTCCTACATGTTTCTTAAAGTCCTCAGGGGATGTGTGTCCTGTGCTTTCGGAACAAGCCTGTTTGTACTTGAGTGCAGCTGCTGCTTCACCTGGCCCTACCGTCCTTGCCAGATGGTGCTCTCTGCTGGCCATTTCCACCAGTGTACTCTGTCACAGCTACACTGCAGGTCTGAAGTTACGGGGACAATGCTCGTGTGTGTGTGTGTGTGTGTGTGTGTGTGTGTGTGTGTGTGTGTGTGTGATGCTCTGTTAGAGGGTCTAAAAGTGGCGTTGATTTTTCTCAGTTCTTTTAATGAATCAGTTGTTTTAGATTTTTCAAGTCCCTTTGTCTACTGAAAGATACAGGCGTAAATCCACTGAAGGAGGAAAATTCAGGCAACAGAAAACACCCAGGATTTGGCATCGCCATTCTTTTGACCCTGGAGATTTTCTTACTGGGTGGGGCATCATGATTAACTGCTTCCCGTGGTTACCTTTCATGTTCACCTTCCAAATGGTTTGCTCTTTTAGTTAGAAACGTTCCCAGATGTGTCTGAATCAGCCTGATGATAGTTGGTGACTTGGTTTTTCTACGCTCAGCTTCTTGTTGGGTTTTGTTACTGTATCCCAAAGCTTTTTGAAGTGGGGCCTCTCTCACTGGAAATTGTTGTCTAGTCTCCAGACCAAAGAGTCCCCCTCATCTCCAGATTTGGTCTTTCCTGAATGTAACACTGGTCAGCTGCAGCTCTTTTCACACTCAGCATCCTCCTATTGTGCAAGATCTGGAAGTCCCTTAAGTGTCTAGCATGTGAGTGATACCTTTCAGTTTCTAGCACTGATGCTTTGTGTCCATTTTATACAACTCTTGAAATTTCTGGGTGAGGTGAGATAGATAGATACGAATTTGAACTGAAACGGTTTTTGGTACTAATATTTCTATTGCATTAATATTGTTTATAATGATAGTTGAGAGTTTATTACACTGCTCTATTTTTATATTTATTATTTTTATTTTATGTATATGAGTGTGTTTCCTGCATGAATATAAGTGCACCTCTGCTGTGCAGTGCCCGTAGAGGCCAGAATCACCTGGCACTGCAGTTACAAATGGTTGATGGCTGCCATGTGGGTCCTGGGAGCCAAACTCAGGTTCTTTGCAAAAGCAGTCAGTGCCCTTAACCAATGAGCCATCTCTCCAGCCCCTACTATACTGTTCTTGAATAGTAATAGCCACCTAGAGCATCTGACCTGTTGTTTTATGTAAATTACGCATTTATGTTGTAGGGATTTTATTTAATATATAGCAATGATTTTAATAACCCAAGCTTATTTAAAAATATTTTTACAAGTACAGCTTTTCAGATGAATTAAAAATAAGTAATCTAGGGGCTGGAGAGATGGCTCAGCGATTGAGAGCACTGACTGCGCTTGCAGAGGACTGGGATCCAATTCCTAGCACCCACATGGCGGCTACGAACCGTCCCTAACTCCAGTTCCAGGGGACTCCGAAGCCCTCTTCTCACCTCTGTGGCATTGCATGACATGGGTACAATCACATACCTGCAGATAATAAACTCATATACATAAAATAAAAATAATAAAAAAATTTTTTTAAAGTAATCTAGAGTTTATCTTCTACCGTTAGTTAAAAAGTTTTGTTTTGTGTTATTAGCAGTGTTAAGGGAAAAACATTGGTTGGTTTCCTCCAGTCACAAATAATTTCTTTGATATCAAAAAGAATGACCCTGTCCTCAGGTATCAGCAATAAAATGAACTAGGGTATTGTTTAACTTATTTTTAACTATTTGTTACTCTGAAAAATTACATGAATATTTTTAAAATTTAAATTAGTTGTCTGGGGTCTGTTGGTGGTGCTTGTTATTTTTGCAATCTGTTTAATTAAGGGTTTTGTAATAGATTTTTTCCCCCGTTTCTAAGTAATATTCAATCCCCTTTCCTCCCTTTCCAGAAAGGAGGAGCTACTTTTCATTGCCCTGATGTATTAGAGGGCCTAGTGTACTGACAACTGCAAAGTGCTCATACCAGCTCATGTAGGTGAAGATACACTTCCCTGAGAGGCACTTCCCTGAGAACCCTGGCAAATGTGGGGAGGACTAGGTGGAACCCAGCAAAGAACCTGGTATTTCCTGGTGGAATTCCTCTGACTGAAAAAATTCTTGCTATATATTTTGACCTAAGTCAAAGTTAACATTGCTTCATAACTCATTTAAGCTATGTCTTATGTTCTTTTTATTTTATTTTATTTTTTAGGGTGCTTCCAAAGTAACTTCAAAATACAAGGGTATACATTTTGGCAATTCTACAGGAAGACAAGAATTACTCAAAAACTCAGGCCCTGATCCTGGGCAGTATGATGTCACCCGGTAAGTAAAAACAAACAAATGTAGCTAGCTGGGTGTGGTGGTTTCCACCTGTAAAACCCTGCACTCATGAGGCACTGGCAAGAGGATTACTATGAGTTCAAGGCTAGCCTACTCTACGTAGTGATTTCTAGGTGCTCCAGGGTTACATAGGGGAACCGAGAGAGGAGAGAGAGAGAGAGAGAGAAAGAGAGAGAGAGAGAGAGAGAGAAGAGAGAGAGAGAGAAAGAGAGAGAGAATCTCTTAAATACCAGTAATGTAGTTCCTGATTAAATTACTGTACTAGCTCAGACAAGGCTATCCTGCTAAGAAAGGAAAATTACTATGAAAAACTCCAAGGAGAATTATATTTCAGCATAATCTATGTGAAAACTATTGTCTTCTTATGCACCTGGTTCTGTCTCCTGCTTTATATACATTACTTCATTTGATCTTCATAAGTCTCTGTTACTATTGTTTACCTCTGTTATCAGCAGAAAACCCAAGAAATCAGAAAATTCAAGAATCAGAAAAGATAAATAACATGGCTAAGGAGCTAGACTTTAACAGGAGGACTTTAATGCAGGAGCTAGACTTTAACAGAGGCCCATTTGATTACACAACTCATGTGTGTTTGTAACTAAAGTATATTGTGCTTAATTATAAAATAGACAAAAGATCACAGAAAATCTAAAAAATGATGACTCAGGATTCTGCCTGGTTCTTTCTCTCATGGCTCAGGGTTCTGCCTGGTTGTTTCTCTCACAGCATGAGTTTTCTCTTGGGAAGTCCCATGATGATTATGTACTCTGTTAATTGCCTGGACACTCAGATGTACCTGTACGGTAGCAGTGAACACAGTCTGCACTTGGACTGTCTGCTATGGCGCATTCACTGAACAAGTATTAAACTCCTGCAGTGTGCCAGTATTGAACTTAGTAACTGAGAACAGGAAGAATCAAACATGATGCTTATTTTGTGGAAATGTACCCAAATTCATTGTCTTTTTTATTTTTTCACTCTGTTCATCTGAAAGGGTCACCTTTGTATTTTCATTCTTTCAGTAATTATGCTAGATGCTAACATGCATATTTAGCCTAATGTAGACTACACTAATTATTCTTCCAAACAAGAGAATTTCTGTGTGCTGTTCTAAATCTGATATTCCCCCTTTTGGCATATTCTTTTGTTGTTTGGCTTTTTAAAACACATTAAGGGGCCAGAGAGATACCTCAGCTGTTAAAACACTGACTGCACTTGCAGAGGACCTGCATAGAGGCTAACAACTCCAGTTCCAGGGAACCCAACACCCCCTTCTGGTTCCATGGGTAATGCAGGACATGGGTGCACTTATGCACATGAAGGCAATACACTCATACACATAAAATGAGAAAAATAAGAAAACAAGTTAAATATATCTTGTTAACTTATTCTGAAGTATCTTTGTACTGATTGATTTTATCTGGCAGTGTCATACTTGTATTCTGATTACTCTCCCCTGACTTTCTGTTATCCCCCCCCATCCCTATCCGTGCCCCTTTATCAATACCAGTCTCTTTCCCAGACTCATGGCTTTTGATTTTATTTTGTGACCCATTTAGTTTAGCCATCTGCATATGCTAATCCTTTCTTTTCCTTCTTCCAGTTTGACTGGCTTGCCCTTTCCTTTCCCTGCCTTGTTCAAGCCTAAATGCAATCAAAACCACCAGGATTGTGATCACTGTTGACTCTGGTTTGGCTTGGTAGTTTTCTCAACCAGTTTAGCTTCCTTCTCCCAGCGTTGCCCCATCTCCACCATCTCCCCACTTTTATTTTGTCCCGTTTCACCCCATTTTCAGTTCGTTTTTCACTTTGGTCTTCAGGAAGGAATCCCATAGATTGTACCCTTCAGCCCGTCTCCTTTATTTCCCCTTTGGCTGCTTGCACTGTTAGATATTCGCTTGCGGTTGTCTTAATTCATTCTGGCAGTAGCTATTTTCTAGTGTAAGCTTTTCTTCCTTTGTGGGTTTTATTGATTGGGTTAGAATTACACGGAGATATTTTATACATAACAAAGGTGGAAATATGTGGCCATTCTAAATGGGAAGATACACTCATAGGTCTCTCTTAGGGAAAGACATGGACACAAGTGATACATACCAATTCTGATATCCCCAATATAAATTTATCATAGGATGATAAATGCACATTGAAATCATAGCACAGAAAATGAAATTAGTGGCAATTATTATGTAACTTAAAGTTTTGATTTGTTTATGTTATGTGTTAAATTTTTTGATTATTTTTAAAAAATATTTTATTTTATTTTTTAATGTGTGTAAGTGTATTGCTTGCATGTGCGTAAGTGTAACTGCATCATGCAATGCCTACAGAGGTCAGAAGAGGGCACTGGATGCCTTGGAACTGGAGTTATGTATGGTTGGTTGCCACCATGTGGGTCCTGGGAACAGAACCCTGGTTCTCTGCAAGAGCAACCAGTGCCCTTAACACTGAGCCATCTCTCCAGCCTCCACTGTTACCTATTTTTAATCTTTGTATGCTTAGTATGTTTTTTAAAAAAATTTGTTTGTAGGGCTGGAGAGATGGCTTAGCAGTTAAGAGCACTGACTGCTCTTGCAGAGGACCTGGGTTCGATTCCCACCACTCACATGGTGGCTACAAACTGTCCTTAACTCCAGTTCCAGGAGAATCAGAAGCCCTCTTCTGACCTCTGTGGCACTGCATGACACGGGGGCACTCACATACATGCAGGCAATGCACTCATACACATAAAATAAAAATAAATAAAATATTAACATTTATTTATTATTATTCCAAAGAGAGACAACTTTTAACACATTTTCAAGAAATAACTTGAAGCAGGTTATGTAAAAAATATATATACAATGAAGTTTAAGTGGGGAAAATAGGAACAAGAGTCAAAGACCAGGCTGGGCATGGTGGGGCCAACACTTGGGAGGCAGAGGCATGTAGATCTCTGTGAGTTTAAGGCCAGCATGGTCTATATAGTGAGTTTCAGTCCAGCTGGGGCTACAGGGAGACCCTGTCTCAAAAAGACCCCCCCAAAGAAGAAAGAAATCAAAGACCAAAGAATTTGCCAGCCAACATGGAGTCAACATTGGTGGAATAGTGAAGGATTCCATTAGCTCTGTTCTTTTTTTTTTTTTGAAAATCTTGATGAGTGTATTAGGCTTGCTAATAGAGCATAGGGTGGGCGTTTGTTTACAGATGAGTGGGCATTACCCCCACCATTTGCAGCACTGGAAAGTCCACACTCAAATACAGATCCTGTAACTTCCTGACAGCTGCCAAAGATGGTGAGAGAGATGCCTCATGGTGTTCTTAGTTTATATATCGTTAGTCCATCCACTCACGCAGCTAAAGTTGAATGATAGAGTGGGAGGGGTAAGTGACTCCCCCATCAACTCCTTGAGGAGCTTGGGAAAGAGGTGTGACTATAGCTTGTGGGCATAGTGGTTGGCAGACACTTCCAGTTAACACTCTACTCCTTCCTCTCACATTCTTTCCACCAAAATTCTGCAAAAGCCCCTGAGCCTTGGAGGGGGTGGTAGGTGTGGGATGATCTTCCTCCTACTGTGGCAAGGCACTGAATTTTCGGCTCTGTACATCATCTGTTTTCCACGGGCTGTTGGCCCTTTTCATGGGATTCTATCTATTACAAGGATTTGGTGCTAGGATCCACAAAGGAGGGAGAACATACATCTTTTGTTTTTCTGAGTCTGTTTTACTTCATTTAGTAAAACAGCTTCTAGATTCATCCATTATTTCATCTTTCTTTACTGCTGAGTAGAACTCCATTGTGTACATGTACCACATTTTTGTTAACCGCTTGTCAGTTGAGGGACACTTAGGTTGCCTCCATCTCTTAGCTATTGTGAACAGAGAGCAATAAACATGGTTCTACAAGTGTCTTTGCAATAGGGTGAGTCGTATGGTTATATGCCAAGGAGTGGTATAACTGGGTCATATGGTAGAGTCATTTTTAGCTTTTTAAGAGTTCTCCACACTGCTTTCCATAGGGGTTGCATGAGTTTGCAATCCCACCAGCAGTGAATGAGCATTCCCCTTTCTTCATACCCTTGCCAGCATTTGGTATCATTTGTTCTCTTGATCTTAGCCAGTCTGATTTGGGTAAGGTAGTACCTTAGGGTGGTTTTAATTTGCATTTCCCTAATTACTAATGATGTGGAACACTTTTAAAGATGTTTCTTAGCCATCTTTGTTTCTTCCTTTGAGAACTCTCTGTTTAGATCTTTAGCCTATCTTTTAACTGGTCACTTGTTTTCTGGATTTCTTTGTTTTTTGAGTTCTTTATATATTCTGGATGTTAAACCTCTGTCAGATGTGTCACTGGTGAAGATTTTTTCCCACTCTGTGGGTTTTCTCTTCACTTTATCGATTGTTTCTTTTGCTGTACAGAAGCCTTTTAGTTTAATGAGGTCCCAGTTGTTGATTGTTGATCTTAATTCCTAAGCAACTGGTGTCTGATTTAGAAAGTCCTTTCCTACACCTATATCTTGTAGGTTACTGGCAATGTTTTCTTCTAATAGTTTCAGAGTTTTGGGTTTCACATTGAGGTCTTTGATCCATTTGGTGTTGACTTTTGTGCAAGGTGAAATATAAGGATCTAGGTTCATTCTTTTGCAGGTGGAGATCCAGTTTTGCCAGCACCATTTGTTGAAGATGCTGTCTTTCCTCCATTGTGTGTTCTTGGCACCTTTGTCAAATATCAGGTGGCTGAAATTCCTTGTACTCAGGTTTGGGTCTTCAGTGATGTTCCATTGATCTATGTGTCTATTTTTGTGCCAGTACCATGCTGTTTTTATGACTATATCTCTGTAGTATACTTTGACATCTGGTATAGTAATCCCCCAGCATTGCTCCTTGTGCTCAGGGTTGCTTTGGCTATCTGGAGTCTTTTGTGCTTCCATACAAATTTAAGGATAATTTTTTCTGTTTCTGTGAAGTATTTTATGGGGATTTTTATTGGAATTGCATTGAAT